GACTTTATCATTTTTAATTGTTTATAATTGCATTATTAAGTGCTATACAAGTTTTTTGCTCTAAAAATTACTTTAATAGTTTGACAAAAAGCATTTAATGCGTATTTTCTATCATTGAAGATTTATTTTGTTACTATTTCATTGAGTACTACTTTCAACTGTTTAAAATGTATGATTGGTTAGTATTACTTTTTTTCTTTCTTTGATACTCAATCAGATTTTTCATTTTTATTCCAAAATAACTTCTGAAATAATTTAAATTTTGCCATATTTTTCAGATGGACAGCTAGAAATTATTCAAAATTTTGGGGACGTACTTTAAAAGATGGATTACGCTATCGTCTTGGCACTCTTTTACCAGAAGAAAGTGTTCAGGTATAAAAATTTGCATATTTCTATATGAAATATTTGCAATGTAATGCTGTTAATTAGTGTTGTTTATTGAATTGTTTAGAATATGAATGAGATTATTATCAAGCCTCGAGAATTACCAACTACTTTTGATGCCCGACAAAAATGGCCAGGATTAATTCATGGAATTCAAGACCAAGGCGAGTGTGGAAGGTAATTCTTGCTAAAACCAAAACTGTTTTTAAAATGATTTTTTGTTTCTTTTTCAGGTTTTGATTAGAGAATTGATAGTAAAAAGAATGCGTGAATCAGTAAATTGATATGAGCCAATTATGAAGTTTGAAATAAGCTTTCTGATATAAATTAAGGTGGAAGTTTATTATTACAGTAAATATAAGTTTAAAAAGCATGTACAAAGTTATATTTGCTATAATCGTATTTTGTAAGTTCTTGGGCCCAGTCAACAACCGCCACCTCAGCTGATCGATTGGCATTAATAACAGAAGGAAGACAAAATGTGCAACTCTCTGCCCAACAATTACTTTCCTGTAATCAACATCGACAGAAAGGTTGTGAAGGTGGTTACTTAGATAGAGCTTGGTGGTATATCCGGAAATTCGGGTTTGTTTAACTGCATATGAAAACACTTGTTAATTATTCGTTATATTTTCAGAAGATATAAGCCAAATGTTTTTTAACAATAAACTTAGATTCTGAATTAAATTCGCTATACCGAATACTTGAACTGAATTTGTTCCAATTATAATTTACTGTTTTTTGAATATCAATATGTATTTTTGTTATTAATCATCATGAGGAATTGAGAATGATTAATTTTAGTGTAGTAAGTGAAGAATGCTACCCATATGTAAGTGGAATAACAGGGAAATTGGAACCATGTGAAATTCAAAAGTCTGATTATATCAATGGGCAGTTGTTGAGCTGTCCTAACAGAGACAGCAGCTCACGAGTGCATCGTATGACGCCATCTTATAGGTTATTTATTATATGTAAATATTGATACGCTTATATATTCATACATGGAGGAGTTATTTCTAGCAGTGAAATGTTTCTTGAATAAACGCACTGAAAAATAGACATTTTGCAGGGTTTCGAGTAGGGAAGAAGACATAATGTCTGAGATATTAACCAACGGCCCAGTGCAAGCAACATTTCTCGTTCACAGCGACTTCTTCATGTACAGGTAAGTAAGAATCGCTTAGCATCAACTTCTCTTTCGATTGGCTCTTAATCTCAGTGTCAAGAAGGAAAATATATGCAATTTATATCAACCAGATAAATAAAGTAATCTCACTGATTAAATTGCGCATGTTCATTACCATTCTCATGATTACTCTTTCAAAATTGCTGTACCTCGGAACATCACTAATTAAGATTAAAAATAATACAACTATTTCCAATACAAGATTAATAAATAATTAATTTATTGCAGTGCTGGGATATACAAGCATCTCACAACAAGTGAAGACGAACCTAGAGGATACCATTCTGTTCGACTTCTTGGGTAAGTTTTGCTATCACTGACTTAAAAATTTTTCTTGAGTGATAGCAATACATCATCAAACAATACTGATTCCCAAGATTTGCTTCATTAAAACTTGTATACTCAGTTAATTGTAAAAGAATCACACTTGTTGTTCATGTAATCGTATGTTATTAATACTTTATATTTAAATTGAATTTGCATTATGTGTGAGCAGTGAAAGAAACTACAAAGCAAAAAAGGATTAATTAAAAAGTAATTGATAGAAAATACACAATTTCAGGTGGGGGGAAGACCATACTACTGGAAAGCGAGTCAAGTATTGGATCGCAGCTAATTCTTGGGGTTCTGACTGGGGGGAAAACGGTACTTTCCGGATTATGCGTGGTGAGAATCACTGTGAAATTGAATCATTTATAATTGGTGCGTGGGGTAAAGGTTCTAAAAAACGACGACGACTGTTTAAGTTACGAAAAATACGACGACAATTCAGAATGTTAAAATAATCATTTACCAGATTCTTTCCATGATAATAATGCAAAACAAAATCTCTTTTATATCACACTACCTTTTAGTAACTGTGCTTCTCAACCCTGTTCGCTCACAGTATACACATTTTCATTAATAAAATATTCTTTAAAATAAACACAATGAGTTTTATTCATAAGCAAAATGATCAGCAAACTAATACCAGTAAATTTTAGCAGCAGTTATTATGCAAATACTTTAGAATTGATGCTGTGGAAAATAATAGTGAAAAAGCTTACTAAAACTCTCTAATAAAAACGGAATAAAGCACATATGAAAGAAGAACTTTATATTCTATAAAGTAATCAACAAGAAAGATAAAATGTACTGAAAATAAAATTCCAATCATTGAAACAACATTACAAAACTTGAATATAACACGTAAAAACAGTACAACTCTATTTGAAAGAATAAGCACACATAAGTTTCAGATAAAAATTAAATTTTTACATGCATGTTCAAAATAAATGTTTGAATTTTTGAGTATTATAGCACAATTTTCCAAGAACTCACAAGATTCTTTTCAAAGAATGCTGACAAAGTAATGAATCCATCACGCTTTCAAAAGAAGTCATATAAAAAATTTTTCTTGAGATTATGATAGATCAGTCATGTTTTTCTTTTTATAATTTTCTTTTCCTTCGTCGCAACTATCCATTTATGTTTGAATGGGATAAGATTCATTATTTCCATAAAAATTTTGAAGGCAAGATTCAGCATACCGTTTTATAACTTGATGGGCGACTCAACTGTATTACAGTCAGGAAACAGAGAATCAAAAAGGAAAGAAAATGCACCCGGAATTAGTAAAAACAATGGGATAACAGATAAAATAGCATAGTTGAACCTGACAGTCTGCAGAGAGCACAGAAACCACGACGTGGTGTGATATTACAAACGCGTTTGATTCAGTTAATCACATATATCTGATTGAATACATTGAAAGACTTAACATACCAGCATGGACCAGCAGATTCCTAAGAGAAACAGAGATGGACAGTTGTATCAAAAAACAATGGAGAAACTATCATGGAGTCCATAAACGTTACGCAAGGAAAATAGTATATCCGATCACGCCGAGACATATGTCAAAGCGATAGTGCTCAAGAAAACGCTCGAAATCATCTCATTCGATCACCGGATTGCATGAAAATGGAGCAGCGGAGATCAGCACAACAAATCTGGGGGTGAGACAAGTACAGCTAGATTTCTGGTACACGATTCAGTGCCAGAATCAACAATACGCAAAGAAAAATTAGCTTCCAAGGCTAATCTACATGTCTTTATTTATCATAAAATTTTCTATCAGCGATGTTTGAATATCCTAGATAAGAAAAATTGCATTTTTATTAGGAATTTTGCTCCAGTTGCTATAGCGACTGCTGATTCAATCATATGAAATCAGATTTAAAGAAGACCGAACCTGCTTTGAGAGTTTTGGAATCTGACAATCAGTATCAAGAAGTTTTCAATCAAAGCTAATAAAATGTCTTTCTCATAGTAAACTTAATATGCCAAAGTGTATCTTATATTTTATATTCCAACTGCAATCACTTTAATAGATTCTCAACTTTTTCATGGAGGGCAAACAAATCTATGCATAAATCGAAGCTTAGGTTAAGGCTTGCACATTATCGGGTGCCCTGATGCGCTCTTACGAATGTTCCAGCAAACAGTTCTCCTGCTTTGTTTCTGTATACTTTCAAATTTAAAAACTTTTGAAAAATTGTTACCGCTCTTTTTCATCAGCATATGACAATTAATGATAGAACTCAAGTAAAAAAAACGCTACTGTGCTCCAAAATATTTTTTAATTCTAGCATGTACTTTGGATCTAAATAAGATTAAAAATAATTTTCAATTCTGAAAGAATATTAAAAAACGTCCTGCATGAAAGTCGAAAGCAAAAGTAATAAAACGATAGTGCAGGTTCTTTAGTTTTATAGTAATACTTTCTTTCTTCGCACTGCTCATTTCCAGTATCGCTAATCAACTGCTTATTTCCAATTCTCATTTTTGAATTAATCACTTGTTACCTTTCACGCAGCATATATGTCAATTTACTCTTTGCGTTGCTAGGCGAAAAGTGAAATCAATAAGTGCAGTCTACGTTTGCGTGAGACCGCCCTTCAAATCCGTGATCCTATGTCAGAGAAATACCCTCCAAGATAATGAACCTCAGGTTACTGCTCCAGTCCTTTCGTATGCACTTTCACTGTTTTTCCTTCCTAATAGTTTAGTAATAATTTCACGATTCCGAAATCCTCGTTCCTTGAGAAGTACATATTTTGGTGATTAGGAAAAGTTTCAGTCAAGCTATCAACTAGGGAATCTACGAAAATTTATAGACCAAACTTCGTTTGCTGAAAACAGTTCAATTAGTATTATGCTCTGAGTATTATGACTCTGGAAATATAGTACTGAGCATCAGGACCTGAAACTTCAATACATCTCTGACATTTTGTTCGTAATTTACTGCCAGGCATAATAACTCAAAAATACTGAACTCCTCTATAGTTGTGATTTGACTGATGTCAACCAAAGTGATTTATTTCATTGTTTTTGGAAAATTTTCTCTTATTATAAAGCAAAATGACTTGGTGAGAAGCTATATTGAAAAGAATTCAGGACATGAACTCAGCACTTAATATAAATATCTTCACGAATGAAGTTATTTGAATCCTAAATTTTCAATGTCCAATAAATATTTATAATTTTAATTCAAAACGATTAATTTCCCTTCATTTATCGCTTCCATCTTAATCAACCCCATCTATCTAAGTCAATGAACACACTCTCTGACAATAAGATTATTCCGAGATGGATTCAGATTGCACATTCCTTTCAACTGATCGACAATCACATTCATTTTGTATTGAAAACGCTCTAATCTCTCACTTACGTACTTCACTTCAGGCCATATTTTCTGTCATCATATTCTACATTTGACTGTGTACTTAAAAAATCCTCCACTATATGAAAACTAGTTGTGAAAATAAAATCATTACATTACATTTTCCTGTCCGATAAAATATAATCAAAGTTTGTTTTCACTATCACCATAAAATAATTTATGGATAGATCGTTGCTAGTAGAGAGAGGTAAAAAAATAATTAAATAACTGCGTATTAAAACCAATTGGATTTGGTTTTTTGCCAGCTATCACCTGAGGACTTGTTGACATTGCTTATTTTCACACCCTTTCTTATTTGGATGTAAATTACGAATCACGTTAACTTATATATGCAGCTATAAAATTAACTAAATTAAGACTTTGGCAAGGAGAGACTGAATGCCTATTGAAGAAAGAGATGAGAAGCAAAATGCTATCAACGAAATGGATTACGTCGAGTTCTTACGATCTACCACTACTTTACAAGCGCAAAACAAAGCATTCTGCACTGGAAGAAAGAAGATGAGGGACGTAGCCAAGTCAGTTAGATTCTAATTTTTTAAAAGCTTACTGCTT